TCAGCCACAAGCCAGGCTGATGGCTGCCAGTACAGCAGTGGTGGCGGAAGCCTCTCCTGCCTCCTCAGCAGCGCTAAGGATGTCCGACTGCAGCTTAGGCCTGCTCCCCGCTGGCAAGTGGACATCCCCCGAGGGCTCCCGGTCTGCCAGAGGAATATCTGACTGCCAGCTTAGGTCCGATCACCTGGGGAGCGGGCCTAAGCCAGCAGGTGGACATTCCCCGAGGGGTCCCAGACTGCGAGAAGGCACAGGCTGGGCTGAGCCCCCCCTCCCCCCCGAGTACACAAATTTTTGTGCACCAGACCTCTAGTATATAATAAAAGAGTAATACGCAAATTGATCCTAACATCAGAACAACGAGGAACAACAGGTCCCTATGAAGTGCACTGACGACCTGGGGGTAGACGCTCAACACAGGAGCTGCCCCCTGGAGATCAGTGCACTCCCACAGGGGGAGTTACACTCAGCCACAAGCCGGGCTGATGGCTGCAAGTGCAGCGATGGTGGCAGTAGCGGGAACCTCTTCTGCTTCTGCGGCAGCACTAAGGATGTCCGACTGATGGCTTAGGCCCAATCCCCTTGGGAGCAGGCCTAAGCTGGCAGATGGACACCCCCCGAGGACTCACGGGCTGCCAGAGGAATGTCTGACTGCCAGTTTAAGCCTGATCCCCCAGGAAGCGGGCCTAAGCCAGCAGGTGGACATCCCCCGAGGGTTCCCAGTCTGCAAGAGGGTGCAGGCTGGGCTGAGGGACCTCCCCTCACTCCAGTGCATGAATTTTCGTGCATTGGGCCTCTAGTATGTGTATGTGTGTGTGTGTGTGTGTGTACACACACACACACACATACATACATACTTAGAAGGAAAAGAAAAAATTATTAGTAGGTACAAATGTGAAAAAACTCAACCTCTCCCACACTAAGAGAAATGTCAATTGCAATTATAATTGGATAACATTTCTTTTCTATCAAAGTGACAAATACCTAAAAGTTTGAAATATACTTTGTTCATAAAACTGTAAGGAAACAAGAACGCCTTCATACCTTGCTGATAAGAGTGCAAAATAATATAGCCCCATTTGCGTTTTTATAGGAAACTATAAAATGTCATTTATACAAGGTTTTCCACTACAATATTGTAATAGCAATAGAGCAAAAACAATACAGTTCCCCAACAATGGAATAGTATGCAGGTATGGAGAAGAAGTGTATTTTGTATAAACTAGCATGCACAATCTTTCTAGATATGCATGTTGCCCTGGCTAGTGTGGCTCAGTTAGTAGAAGGGTCATCCCATACACTGCAAGGTTGCAAGTTTGATCCCAGTCCTGGTGGGGGTGCATGCAGGAGGCAACCAATCGATTTTTCTCACATCGATATTTCTCTCTCTCTGTCTTCCCATTCCCTTCCCCTCTCTCTGAAAACTAATGACAATGTCCTTGGGTGAGGATTTTTTAAAAAAGATATGTATGTGTATCAGAGCATTATTCACAATAGCCAAGGTATGGCAACAACCCAAATGCCCACCAACAGATGAATGGATAAAAAATATGTGGTATGTACACACAACAGAATATTATTTCAGCCGTGAGAAAGGATAATCTCTTGCCATTTGCGACAATATAGATCAGTGGTTCTCAACCTTCCTAATGCCGCAACCCTTTAATACAGTTCCTCATGTTGTGGTGACCCCCAATTTCATTGTTACAAATTGAACATAATTAAAGCATAGTGATTAATCACAAAACAATATGTAATTATATATGTGTTTTCCGATGGTCTTAGGCGATCCCTGTGAAAGGGTCACGACCCACAGGTTGAGAACCGCTGAAAAAAATGAATCTTGAGCGTATTATGCTAAGTGAGATGGTCAGAGAAAGACATATACTGTATAATCACTTATATGTGGAATCTAAAGAAGTCAAAACTGTAAAAAACAGTAAAATGGTGGTTACCAGAGGAAATGATTGATAGTGTCTAAAGGTATAAACCTGTAACAAGTAGTAAATGAGCCATAAGGTTCTAATGCACAGTATAATGAATTTAGACAATAATACTGTACCTGGCAATCATACTACACTATATAAATATATGAAAGTAACACACTATACACCTTAAACTGTACAATGTTACATATCAAATTTATGCAATAAGAAAGATATGCTATTAAGTGAAAAAAGCCAAGTTATGAATTACTTACTATAGGTGGTATATCATCCTTTATTTTAAAAAGGGGGCATAAGAATTGATATTCATATTTGCAATGCAAAAATATGCAAGGATTGACAACAAACTAAAAAATATGGCTGCTTTACAATGGAGTTGACAAAAATGAATAGAAGCAAGACTTCCCAATATATTTTCATTGTGTTATTAGTTGTTTGTATTATTTGATTTTATGTCCCCAAAAATATATGCTTAGTCAAAAATATGAAGCTATAAAATAAAACCCACTCCTTTATGAATTAAAAATTAAAATCTCACACACACATACACACACAATTACCATCTAGAAAAATAACCCACAAACACAGTTCACTAAAGAGTAAATGACAAATTAATAAGTTATTTGAAATAGTCCTTAGTCTTTTCTTTTCAACCAGAAAAGATAACAACACAGCCCTAGCCAGTTTGGCTCAGTGGATAGAGCATAGGCCTGCGGACCAAAGGGTCCCAGGTTTGATTCCAGTCAAAGGCACACACTGTTCTTTGGTTGCAGGCTCCTCCCGGTCCGGGCCCTGGTCAGGGCTCGAGCAGCAGGCAACCAATCAATGTGTTTCTCTCACATCGATATTCTGTCTTTCCCTGTCTCTTCCACTCTCCCTAAAAATCAATGGAAAAATATCCTCAGGTGAGGATTAAAAAAATAAATAAAACACAAAGAGAAAAGGGGAAGATAAGAATGCGAAATTTGCAGAGAAAGAAATAGAAACAACTAATAACACAATGAAAAGGTGTTCATAGAAACATCAGTGAGATGTCATTTCCACCTCTGCGACAGGCACGAGGAAACGGTCACTCTCATACCCTTTCGGAGGGTAAGCTGGCAATCTTCATAAAAATGTAAAAGCATCTACAGCCTCCACCTCAGTAATTACTAGACATTGGCCTCTCTCTCCTCACTACTTGTGGAACTACGTGCACAAGTCCATCCATCACAATCTTTGTTCAAGGATACTGCTTGCAGGACTGTTTTTAGTGGCAAAAACAAACCATCCATGCGTGCATCACTGAGGGCCCTAAGAAGTAAGTTAGCGCACAGTCACATGATGCGATACTGCAGGCTGGAAGGAACGAGGGCCACCCGAAGTGGTAACACAGAAAGATACCAAGGGGTGTTGTCTGGAGACGAAAGCAATGGTGCAGAAAAATACCGAGAGTAGCGTCTAAACGTGAAACGGGAGGGGGGCGTAGAGGTAGAGGAACAGGGAGAAACACTGCAACTTCTTTCTGGATACATTTTGTTTACATTTCATACTTTTTTGCTGTTTGAATGTTAAGTATGAAATTTCATTAAAAACCAAGTTATTTAATATATATTTTGGCAATTACGTGCCAAGTACATGCAGATAAAAGTAGTTTCTCTATCATATCTACATCATCTCCCAGTGTTGGTGACAAAGACAATTCTAACCAACAATACAAACCTGCACATCACCTCAAACTCTGTTTTCAAGCTCACACGATATGAGACGTGGGAGTACAAGAGCCGGGTGCCTGTTTCTGTGTTCACTGTTACCTGACCAGCACTACGACCAGCACTAGGGCCCTGGGGACACAGCACAGATCTGGATTCACCACTGATTAATGACTCATCCGCAAGCAAATCACTTAGCTGGTGGCTCTGGGCCTCAGTTTCCCCTCCAGAAGAAAAATGAGTATGGGTGCACACGTGTGTGTGGCAGAGGAGGCTACTGGATACTTCTAAATCTGTATGATTCTAACTTAAAAGTACTACATTTCATTGATAATTTGGAAAGTAGCAAACACATTCAAGCTGAGCATGTTATCTATCCAGGATCTCAATAAACAGACAAAAAAAATATTACATACCAAAAGATACCCAGCTTAGCTGAATATCTAGAGGCTGAAAAAAGATCATCAATGGGTCCACTGATGTCAAGCCAAAAGAACAGCATTCATGCTGTTAAAATAATAAAATGAAAATACTTTCACGATGTCAGCCCTAATTTTTATTTATTTTTTCAATAGCATATGGATATGAAATTCCCCATCACTTACTTTACCATAGTGGTTGCCCTCTGAGCCAACCGATAACACTGACTCTGAAGATCTGCAATGGGGCCATGACATGAACATGAATATTCTCAACTATCTGTGGTCCAGCTTTCAGGCAAGTAGGGAAACATAGTTTCCGGAAATTCAAACTTTACACAACAGTGGAAGTCAGGAGCATGAGGTAGGAGTATAAGATTTCCACAGCCATTGCAACTATTATTCTATTAGCTATAAACTGTCAAGTGTTCCTGTATTAGGCTATTCTCACCTACTTCTGAAATCCACAGTTGCTCATGTGCAAAAATCAGTCCCAGCGAGACAACATATTACCATAAATCGTTAAGTGCCAGGAAAAGTAGGCACTGACTTTTATTTTTCTATTTCCATATTTGTCAATAGATGATCTATGTCTACCCTTTTCACTGTTCCCTCTGAACTAGGAAAAGACTAAAGGAAAAGTAGGCCAAGTATATTTAATATTTTACACCAAGTTCTTTGTTAAGATGGCTTGGCCAGCCCCGCGCCTGACTCTCACACCAGCCCGACAGCTCCAGTAGGAATGAAGCACCAGTATCACGGGTGCTGTGCTCCAATGCCTACTAATGCACTGAGGGTTATTGGCCAACTTCTTCACATAAAGGCAAGTGTGAGCGTATGTGTGTGAACATGTGTGTGTGCCCACGACATGGGGGAGCCAGCCACAGCTGCTTAATTTCTGTAAAGCTTTTTTTTCCTTAATAGGGAGGTGGGTTGTGGTTACTTACCATCCTCATAAGCCGCTACCGCCAACGAGCTGTTTATCCTCACAAAGGAGACATATGGCTGCATTCCAGGCTCATCCTCCTCCTCATACTCGGAGTCCAGGAAGGGGGCTACGTAGTCCCAGGTGCGGGTGTCCCACACCCTCACGTCCCCTGATGTGTATCTGGAAAAGAAGGACCTCGTTGGTTCCAAGTCGAGACAGAGAGCAGGGCCATAGTGAGAAAATGGGGAGAGCCTAAAACAACAGAGGAGGAAGATTTGGTTGGAGTGGAACCACCCCTGCAACACTGTTCAGATGAGTGACTCCAACAGGAAAAACTGTCATCCTGCGTAACAGAAAGGCTGTGAACACCTTTCACATTCTCAGAGCACAATGCTGACAACTTCAAGAGAACACTAGACCATAAAAAAGTGGGTATCGAGATTTTTTTTTCCTTTCACACTATTATAACCTTAAGTCCTTCCAGTAAAGAGATCACTAGCATAAATTTGTAGAAGCCACAGTATTTACATACATGAACACACAAGAAAGACAGGCAGAGAGCAAGAGAAAAACTAAAGACTAATGGTCTTCCAGGCACAAGCTTTCTAATACCTCATCCATGCATCAGATTTGACTGATTAAAGTCCCTAAAGACTAATTGATTTGCTGAAACAATTAAATCTTGCCTTTAGCAGCCAGACAATGCTGCCTTCTCATGAAAAGCTCTTGCTGAAATGCACGACACTCCCAGTTTTGCCCACTTAGAAAATAGGAGCCCTCACTCTCTGCTCTTACTACTGCCACTCCAACAAATGAAGCTTTCCATCAAAGCCACAGCAGGGCCAGAACTGCTCAGACACGAGGCCACTAGGAAAATGGCCTGGCCAGATGACGAGGTGGTGCACTGCCTGCCACTGGGGTATTTATGCTAAGTTCCTTACATCTGCTTCAGAGGGCACCATTCAACACGTAAAGCAACTGCAGGGAAGCATATCAGAGATGTTATAAGAGTCCATATGTACCCACACAAACACAGGCAGACAATTTAGGGGGTTTCCAAGCCATTGTTCTTTTGGGGTTTCTTTTAATATATTTTTATTGATTTCAGAGAGGAAAGGAGAGGAAGATAGAAACATCAATGATGAGAAAGAATCATCGATTGGCTGTCTCCTGCACGCTCCACACTGGGGTCTGAGCCCACAACCCCGGGCATGTGCTCTGACCGGGAATCAAACCATGACCTCCTGGTTCATAGGTTGACACTCAACCACTTGAGCCACACCAGCTGGACCTTTCAGGGTTTCTTTGATCCACGTTAAAAATGTGGAGTCGAACACAATAGCCTCTGAGGTTTATTTAATTACTGCAATCTATGGTATGATTCATTACAAAGTAGTTATAGATCAATTTCTCATGTGAGATTTCTTAATAAGGAAACTAAGAATACTCTTAATTCAGGAGTGCTTCATTTACTAAATGCAGTAAGTAGTCTTCCTCTCAAATTAATAATTGGCAGTAAATACAAAGATTGTGTAATTCAAAGGTCATTCTGTCGCAGATTCTCTAGGCTGGAGGGTCCTCTCCTGGCAGACGGCATCTGGAGAGTGTGCGTGTAGAGAGAGCCAGATAAGAGGCACGTGCTTTCTAACACTGGACTGATGGGCCTGTTTGACCACTCATCCTCAGTAAACAGAAACACTCACTCCACGGTGTCATTAGCCTGGTGAGGCACAAGCAAGGGTGGATATTGATAGCACCGCGGCCGAAGCACGGCTGCTGGCTCCTGGGCCCTCCGGGCAGTGTTCCAGATGACCCTCCATAAGGAGGAACCCCACACAAGAACACACACCCCACTGCACCGAAGCTTCCAGGCTCACCCTGACTCTCCGAAAATGACTCAGGCAATCCCCGGAGTAAGGCTACTTCCTTATTAGCGAGAGACATTAAACAGAGATGACATATTTGGAATTCTAGACTGTGTGAGTAGATTCTTAGGGTTAATTTTGAAGTGAAAGGAAAAGAAAGGTGAGAAGGATGACAACATCTTTCAGAAATTCAGAGAAGCTGAGTGAAGAAAGGGAATTTAGAGATCAGAGAATTTAAAAACTTGGAGAAAAAGAAGTGCATAAACTAGGAAAATGTATTTCTACTCCATTAGTCTCATTCTGTTTTTTAACCTGTACATGGAACCACACCAGTGGTCTTCATGTGGTCCTTTGTGGCACCCCTCAGGTGCCACAGTACAGAGGAGAGGATTTTAGTGGCTGAGCTCCACCCCACCCCCAGTCCTTTATATGATGAGGTCCCAGGTAAAACAACAACAACCAAACAAAACTTAGAAAACTGCTGAATCCCACAACAGTGACCTGTGAGATGCAACGTGTTGCTCTCTCATTACTTAGGGAAGAGGAGAGAGGGAGGGCAGAGATGCCACGGAGAAGAGCACTCCGTTAACATCTAATATCCCGGCGAGTCTTTTCTTCCATGAAGTTGTCCCACTCACACTGCAACTCCACAAGTTTAAGTTAAATGCGTGCAGTCCTCAAAAGTTTCAGTCACCACCAAAGTAGCCCGTTGCTGAATTCCTTATTTTTGCTGATTTTTTTTTTTTTTTTTTTGCCCACTACCCACATTGCAATATACGTTCAAATCGCTGCACCCTTTCTTCTCATTCCTAGGAATGCCACTCTATCTACATCCCTCGAGCCCTCACAACTGTACCATGGCAGCCCCCCTACAGCTAAGCTTCTCCCACCTCCAGTCAACCCTGCACAAGCCAAGTCCTCAAAAATACTTGACTCCATGAATCATCCTGCATTTCTCCTTTACCCTCCTAGACCATATGCCCTATGATCTACACAGCCTAGACTTACTCTCATGGCAATTGTGTGTGTGTGATTATCTGACTGTTTGTCTCCCCTACAAACCTACAAGCTTCTGAAGTCAGGGGCTGGGTCCTGCTCACAGCTGTGGATCAGTGACTGGAACTGTCAGACTGGAAGAGCAGTGGACACCCAGGAAGTCCTCTGTAAATACGTAGTCTTAACACCTAATGGAATGAAGTTGTAATTACTAGCCTAGCACTGAGAACACTCCACAACCTAGCGCCCACTCCTGTTCCCAGCCTCATTTCCTACCCTTCCTTAGCATGAGCCAGCCTCCATTCACTGGCTTCCGAACACTCTTGCCTCTGAACCTCGGCTCACAGCCTTCCCTCCTCCCGACTCAGCCCAGTGGGTCTCAACCTTGACTGCGCATTATAGAATCACCTGGAATGCTTTTAAGACTCCCAATACCCAAGCACGCCCCAGACCAATTAAAACGGACTCTCTGGCCCAGCCAATGTGGCTCAGTGGTTGAGGGTCGACCTATGAACCAGGAGGTCATGCTTCAATTCCCAGTCAGGGCACATGCCCGGGTTGTGGACTCCATCCCCAGTGTGGGGTGTGCAGGAGGCAGCCGATGATTCTCTCTTATCACTGATGTTTCTATCTCTCTTTCCCTCTCCTTACCCTCTGAAATCAATAAAAATATTTTTTTAAAAAATTGACTCTCTGGAGGTGGAACCAGGCATCAATATTTCCAATGTGCAGCCAGGATTGAGAACCTCTGACCTACCCCAAGTCCACCAACTCCTCAAGGTCTAGCAAAGGCTCTACTCCTCCATGAAGCCTTCTCTGGCTCAACTGCCATGCCCCATATCTGAAGAAACGGCATTCATTGGTACGTTCCATGTCTCCTCACTGTAAAGTCCTCATGAAGGCCATATCTCAATGCCACAGCCTCCATCACAGTGCCTTACACACAGCTAACAATAAGCAAATGGTTGAAAGGGGACATCCACATTTGAGTTCAAATGGTTTGAGTGGCACCTCCTTCCGTATCTGCTGCCCACCTTCCAGTGCTATTGACCAATGAAACACCCAAAATGCACACATCAATATGCATTAGAATTCTTGCATGTGTTTCTAAACTGATTAAAATAATTATAAAACACAAGATAAGCTAAATTATTTCAGTAAACATGAAGTTGTCCATAGATAGCCACTGAAATTAACTCCATTCTTCATGGCTAACGAGCATGATAATAACACAAATGTTTTGCTACAAAGTGACTCAGGAAGCAAAATGTAAGAGACTTTACGTCTCTTTCATGATAGGAGCAGAGAATAAATAGCGTGATGACTCCATTGCAGGTTCTAAAATCTAACACGGATTAAAGCAAGCACAGCAGTGGCAATGGGGCTCAATGCTAAAGAAACACGTTTTTACCAGGGTGAAACATCAGTAGGGGCAGAGGGACCTGGACCCACCCCTAAATGTGATCTACAAGCACTTAGCACATTGGCCAGGAGAAGCAAGAACCCACATCCAAGCAGGTAGGGAAAAGGGCTGATTTTTCTCCAGAGCTCCAGATGTCTTTATTGCTGCCTAATGGCAATTACACTCAACCAATTCAGACACCACTATGACAGCTGCATTGTCAGTAAGCCTTTGGACCCCAATGTTGATGGCTCTCTAATTAGTGCCCGTGCAAAGTACAACTTCAACTAATGGAAGAGCACTAAAGAAACAATGAAGAAGCAGCCTTTTCCAAAGCAGTAAGGATGTCCCAGCCCATGGCACGGGCCAGTGAAACTGTATGCCTTCGCCATCTTTTTTTATGCTTGGCAAGGCTGAGTTTACCTCCAAATAAATGGGTCACAGACCACAGCTGATTTTTTGTTGAAAGAATGGGAATAGAGCCTCTCTCAAGCTCAGCACGCCAGAGCAATTGCCAATTTAAAATGATTTATCACCAAAGAGCTTTCATTAACTTGTAAGTCTCCAATAAACAGACTACTGATTTGGACTAAAAGACCGGAAGAAAAAGAGGGAAGACATACAGCTAAAAACGACCTTTAACCTTTCTTTTCATATAATTGTCCAGCAGGGTGAGAGAGGCGGGGCATGGTTTCATTTTGCTTGCAGGTGTCAGGTCTTCTTTGCGAAAAACAATGTTTGTCAAAGCTCTTCATAATAACCTGGGGGGTTGTTTTGATTTAAGGAAGCTGGAAATGGGGTTAAGTGACTTACCCAAGGTCACAGAAACATTTTAGAGGCACAGCTGGGATCAAAACAGGTTCTTGGGCTTTTTTCAATCTGCTGCTTAGCCAACAAGCCACTCCATCTCCTGCGATGAAGTGTCTTTAAACTAATATAGCTTTTAAGAACCATCCCCATTTAAGTGCAATATAAGGAATTTATTGTTT